CTAGCAGTTAGGGTCATTGAGGGAGGTAGATCCCCCTCCTCCGTACATTTTCCCCACACCACCTTTGGCAAGGAAGGCTACTGTGATGATTCAACATGGTCAATGGATGAAAGAACCAGACTGCCTTGTTAATCACATGTCCTACAGGAAGTCTAGAATCTACAGAGAATCCCAGATCCTGTGGCATGTGTGACTTGATTTTTGTTTTTCATTCTAGAAACCAGTGCATGTTTAGGGTATAGATACAGATAAACTATGTACCGTATTATTCCATGTATAAGATGATACTTTTGTTTAAAATCTTTAGATTAAAAATCAAGGGTCATCTTATACACAGAAGTAAGGGGGGAGGGATCAAAGCGCTTTGATTCCTGCTTCCCCCCTCGACGTTTTGCGAGGAAAGTGGAGGGGGAAAGCACTTTCCTCACAAGAAAGTGGAGGGGAAAAGCAGGGATCAAAGCACTTTGATGATTCCTGCTTTCCCCCTTCACTTTCTTCGCAAGAATCAAAGCGCTTTGATCCCTGCCTTCCCTCTCCACTTTCTTGTGAAGAAAGAAATTTGGGGTTAGAAAAGTGGGGTGTGTGTGTCTTATATATGGAGGTGTCTTATACACAGAAAAATATGGTACATTAATCTGGATTTTGCACCTCTGTATTGATACACAGAAATGTGTGGGTTTTATTTGTCATGACAGCCAGGATCTGTAGAATGTCTCTGGGAGTTTACAGAACAGAAATGTAAAGAGTGAGAAACCATAGGGAGATCCAATTCGTACTGCTCAAAGGAGTCTCTTCCAACTGTCAAACTCTAACAACAACAATGTGCTGTCACGTCAATTCTGATTTATAGCAACCGTTTTCTGTCTTGGTTTTGTAGACAGATCATATTCAGAAGTGGTTTATCTTTCCCTTCTTCTGGGGGTGCCCTGGGCATGTGCAGCTTGCCCAAGGCCTCACTGGCTGGCTCTACTCACAGCAGGCACAATGGGGAATTGAAATCGCAGCCAGATACCTAAACCACTGAGCTATCAAACCCTACTTGTTCCTAATTAGGAATATCAGGTCTCAGGATACTGGCAGAACTCTTGGGGGATGGTTAGCCTGCCCAGGATTGCCAGGCAGAGAGAAAACAAATCTCAGCGCGAGTAGGGCTGAAAGAAAAGATTGCTTGGTTTTATTATATGTGGTGGCTTTAACCCCTAGGTGCTCATCTTCTTCCCATTCCCAACTTGCACACTGGGTCAGTGCAGAAGTGATTGTTGATGTTTTGTGTATACAGCCTTCACAGAGAGGGAAATCCACAAGGTCCCACTCTCTGATGTGCATATACACAGGGAGAGGTTGTTTTGCATTGTGCCAGAAGGTCTTACCATCCTATGGTCCCAGGTTGCAGTTCTGAAAATCTTAGGAAATGGGAAGCTGCTGATCTAGCGACCTTGACCTTCATTGCTAGGAGAATGGCAGCCACATTTTTTCAGTAGCTTGCCTCTACTTCATGGCATGTTGCGGAGTCGCCAGATTGGGAAGTCATATCCTGCCATTTATATGGCACGGGGCTAGATATCTCGACCTTGTTGGTACATCTCATGAACCATCAAGGTTCCTGCAGTGCCCTCAAGGGTTCCTGCAATTATCTAACGAATCTCTATGATGCAGTTGTCTGGAGGTACAGACCGGCTGTCCTGGCCATCGTTAGCCAAAGTGGCAAGGGCCGCACATGATCCCAAATAGCCTTCACTTCAGTCCTGCTCACCGGATTTTGTTTCGGCACTGAGAAAGGTGGCTTGATTTTTGTCTAGAACAAAATGAAACTGGATTATATACCCAAGAGCATCCCTGTAGTCTCTTCACAAGGCTAGTGTTACGAAGGCCTGCCTTTGAAAAACAATAGCTGGCTTTTAATTTATTATGTCTTTAATTCATTTATCACTTTTCAGCCAAGAAGAATCCCAGAAGCCATGAGCTATAACAACAGAAATATTTAGGAGACCATTTTTACAAATCGATTTAAAAAGCCAACATTCCTTAAAAGCATTAGTCCTACCTAGCAGAAACCATTCGCAGGTATACTTCGTCTTGGCCCTTCCTTTCCATCAACTAGTGGGACCCATCCTCCCACTCTTCCACTATTTTGCCCTTATCACAACATTCTTAATTGGGATTTGCATACGTTCAGCAGCTTTTCACCCCCAGGCCTCTTCTTTCTTTTGAAGGAGGATCTCTTCTGATCCTCCACTCCTTTACTAGGTGTCTCCAGATTCCTCCCTGATTCTGGGTGGGAGGAGTTTTTCAACCTGCAGCAAAGGTATTGGAATGGGTGTGTTTAGTGGCGCGTGTTGCCCTGGCTGTATGCATGCATACTCGGGGTTATTTACAAAAGATAATACCAGGGGATCGTGAATCACAGCCTGAGAAAGAAGAAGCACCTTTGCGTTGGGGAGGAAAAATTACATAAAGAGCGGCCCATTTGCTAAAGAGAGGCTTGTAAGAGACTCCCAAAGACAAAGCGAGGAGAATAACAAAGAAGAAAGAGGTAAGCACTCATGTCTGAATGTGCTCTTAGGCCTAATGATGCACATTTCCAAAATATGCAAGCTTGAAACAACTAGAATTAGTAGAATAAATACATTTTTACTTCCCTTGTATAACAGCCAGAGCAACTAATATACCTGTTCCTATTCTGCAGTACGTGCCTTCTCTCTCTAATAACTTGAGACAAGAGTGTCACTCTTTTTAGTTCAAAAGCTGTGTAATCTCATTCATTCCTCTTTGGAAATTCCACCACCACCCGGCTCGGTGCAGATCGAAATCAGTCTAAAAGCTATAACTCTGAAGAGTGTAATTGAGGGAAGGGTAGGCTGGCTGGCTGGCTGCTTAATTCTGAGGGAAGAAAACAGTACATGTGCGAATATAGCTGCATAGGTGGAAGAGGATTCCTCGAGGTGGATATGAAGCAACCCCTTGTGGGTTGACTTGGATTTTTGCCCATTGGCCATCTATTATTAACAACCATGCTGGTTGAGATATTTTCAAAACTGTGGATTCCAACAGGCTGACACATAATGGATCTCAGCTGCTTTATACATCACCAGTTGAATTTTGTGTAAACTATCAGCTGTCCTACCAGTTACACAATAACCCTATTCTCATAATGTTTATCCCACAGAGCGATGAAAAGCTGTCATTATGGAAGGTACTGTACAAGGAGGATAGGTTTTACCCACGTAACGTCCTCATGAATAGGGTTTAATGCGTGAACTTCCAAAGCCATACAATTTGTTTCACGACCGGCAACCCATGGCTCCAGTTATAGATTGACACACAATCTTTGTGGACTAAAGTCCTTCCCAAGATAATAAGTGTGCCTCTTGTTCCATTTTCTCTTCCTTCACAAAGCCAGGCCCAGCTTTGCCCAGGCATGAGAGGCTGCTCTGAAGGCCCTTCTCCATTCAAGGTAAGTCTACCATTTCTAATTGGTGTGGTCGTTCTTGCTTGGATATTTTAAGTGTTTTTGAGAGCAAAAAATGAGCAGCAGTCTCTCTCTGCTGGTGCTCTCAGGGGAAGGAGAGGGCTGGACCAGAGAACGGAGCGGCGGAAGGATGCCAGCTTTTGATCTTTGTGAACCACAAGTGCCAGATCCAAGCAGATGCGGGCTGTGCATGAGGCACGGAATGACCTCTTGATGTTCCAAGCATTTATGATTTTTCAGAAATTGATGATTTTCCCATCTGTTCTTCTCCATGTCTGTTCATCATGTGTGGCCAAGGCAATTCTGGCCCATGGCAACCCTTTACAGGGTTTTCTAGGTAGAGACTACTCAGAAGTGGTTTACCATTCCCTTCTTCCACGAGAGTCCTGGGACTGTACAGCTTGCCCAAGGCCACACAGGGTGGTTCTTCTGAGATGCACAACGGGGACTTGAATGCCTAACCTCTGGCTCTGCATCCGGAAATCTAATTCACTCACCTATCCAGCGCCTGGCCTGTTACAGACACGTTATTTGCACTATCCTAGAAAGAAACTGGCTCCATTTTTATTCCACCCATCAGCTCCAGTTTATAAGTGAACAGGCAGGAAAGGAATGAAGCATCCAACTCTGCAATAAGCAGTCTGGAGGAAATTAAGTCATTTGCATTTGGTAATGATGAAACGCCGTTTAAGAGAGAAAAAACAAAAGTTACACAGAAAATACATAATCACTAGTGTAGATGCTTTGCAAAAGGTAACAATTAGATTTCATATTCATTTCAACTTCAATAGAGATTTAAAGGTGTACAATGCAAAGCATAATACTGAATGAGCATAATCATGAATCTGCTTTTGCTAAAAACATTTTATGCGAGAAGCAGATGAAAAGTTTGTTAGAAATCTAAGCAGTAACCTAGCGCAAAGAGAATTTTATATACTTCTGTATTAGCTCACACCTTGCCAGCTATCAAGTCAGATTGCTATTGCTTAGTCATGTTGACTTTGTCATTCCCCACGTGCAATGGTCTGTATGGGCCAAAATGCATGTTACAGATAACTTGTTAGAAGATGGAATTCCTTAAATGTTGGTTTTGTTTGATTATCACAGGAGGACGTTTTGTTTTTGTTTTGTTTGCCTCTCATGGTTTGCAAATTAGCCTGCTTTGTTTGTGATTGGTTGTCTGGGCATAAGCCTTTTTTGATTCGCAAGTTTGATTTCTCAGGTTTAAAAATCTGCCTGATCCACACCTCTTTGAACGCTAAAAGAAATTTCAGCGGTAATGATGAGTTGTCTCCAACATGCAGTTTGACCCTAGGGCAGGATGCAACAGCTTCAGAGATCATTCTTTTAGCAGTATTGTTGTGCTTAGAAGAACTAATTCCGGGATAAAGTTAAAGTTGGGAACCTAAGGGATTTGTCTTCATAACATTCGCTTGTTAATAAGGTACTTCCCACCACTTTGCACCTCTGGCCCACAAACCCTGCCTACCATCACAGTTCCTTCATGGACTCAAAGGATAGATTGGCATTTGATCCCCTGCAGTCTTCATACGACAGCTCTTGGGGAATCTCCTTTTTTAACTATGTATATTTTTGAGAGCTCTGAACAGAGTTGATTGTTTTGAGTGGGTTACTGGCAGGGTTAGAAGCCTGACTGCCTGTATTGTTTGTTCAGGATATAAAGCCCCTGTCCAGTCGGAAGATCTCCCAAGCAATCTTTCCCTATTTACCTGTGAAAGCCGGGCTTTTCATTTGTACCATAAATTAGAGTGGACGATTAATGGAAGAGAAGCGCAATGGTTGATGATCACAGAGAGTGTAGCAAGCACCGAGTGTACTGACAGAGCAAGTAGATTGTCAGTTTGGAAAAGGGTTGCTACTACATACACACAGTCAACTGTCTGAGTCTCGGGACATGGGGTCAACCTGCTCTGCCCCCTCCCTTCCCCAGCCAGCACATCATTTTGAACATGGCAAGAATTCATGTATGGCCACAAGCGCTGCTTTAAAACAGAGCTTCTTTCCCACAGTGTGGTACCTTCCAGCTGCTTTGGACTACAGCTCCCATCAAACCTATCTGACTGCGGCTGCAGGAGAGATCATGGGAGTGAAAGTAAAAGACATGAAGAGCCCACAAGGTTTCAGAAGGTTGAATGAGGTAGCAAATCCTTTGGGGATTCCAATTTTTGTTCTTTATGTTCAGCAGAAGGCGGGAAATGAGAACCATGCAGGCCCACCGATATCCCCTGAAGAACCAGGTTTTGACATGATCTATACAATTGAAGACACACCTCCCTGGTACCTCTGCATCCTACTGGGATTTCAGGTAACAGGTTGATTAAGTATCATCTGTGACTAGGTACCCTTGGGTGGGTGGAGGCAAAGAAAGCTGATTGTTCAATTTAAATCTTTCTCATGGTGATTGTCTCTCAGACCATTATATCAGACTTATTATCCATGTGTCATTATGAAGTCTGTATAGGTTGCTTGAAACTTTCCTTCTACTGGTAATTACAGTGATGAAAAGTATTTATTAACTTCTGTAGTGTTGCAGTCTTGTTTATACTTTTTGAATATTTCCCATGGGCTGTCATTCATTTGTTTTGAATGCATTTTTAAATCTTGGAAATTCTGCATAGAGATGGATAACACGCTAGGCAGAAATTCTGTATATTTATTTATTTAAGTATTTTTACCCTGCCTTTCTCCTTGAAAAGGCGGCTTACAACACTGAAAGACAATATTTGAAGTTGAAACAATGAGTATACAATGGTGGTTGATGTAATTAAAAGATAATATTTAAAGCTAAGAACAATGAGTACAAAGAGGCAGCTTGCATCATTAAAAGACAATATTAGAGCCAAGAACATAAATATACATTTTTTTAAAAAAAAAGTCACTCTGAGAAATGGAAAATGCAAAAATGGAAAACACAAATAGTACTAAGAATCCAATCAAAGCAGAATAATCCATGACAATTTATCTTTTTAAAGAAAATCACACACAGGTAGTTTGGTATGGCATTAATGTTATACAGACAAGCACATGCACATGTGCATTTTTATTAATAATAGGAGAGGCTGAAGGAGAAGCATTTAGATTTTTTTTGACCCATTTGTAATTTTGCAAATCTCGCAGTGCCCTCAAGCATACTAGTATCCCAGTATCATTGGCCCCATTTTGGCATTCACCACCTGAGTTTTATTCTCAGAAGATATATAGAACTTTTTGTTAATATTAAACATGTGAAAAACCAGTTTTAAAGAAGTATATTCAGTGGTGCCTCGACTTACGACCATAATCCGTTCCAGAAGATGGACATAACTTGAATTGGTCATAAGTTGAAGCACCATTTCCCACTGAAATGCATTGGAACGTGATTAATCCATTCTGGCTGGAAAAAAATTACCAAAAAAAAAGCACTCAGCAAACCCCATCTGAAGGCACTGGGGCTTTAAAAAAAACCCAAACCAAAAATAAACAACAGAGCAAGCCCCATTGGAAGGAGCTGGGGCTGCAAGAAAAATATCACCAAAAAAAAAAAACACACACCCAGCAACACAGCACAGAAACATTACACCCCCCAGCCCAAACCCACCCTTCAAAACCCACCCAGAACAGGCAGTTTTTAAAAAGCAGAAAGCAGCACCTTACCTTACCAGGCAGTCTGAAGCCTCCCTGCAAACAAACACATTCTCACTCAGAAGCAGAAGCCAGGCAGTCTGCAGCCTCCTCAGATCACACACTCTCTAATCGTTGGGGCGAAAGAGCTACAAAGAAGCAGCCTCTTCGCCTATCAACAGTTAGCAATTTGAATTTCCCGCCCTTTTCCCCTGCCTTTTTTGGATCATAACTCGAAGCTCCGGCCGCAAATCGAAGCAAAATTTTGCAGCCGGAGCTGGTCGTAACTCAAAATGGTTGTAAGTCAGGACATTCGTAAGTCGAGGCACCACTGTAATAGGTGAAGACAGATGGATACATTACTCTATGTAAGAATGAAGAGAATAAAAAGAAATACAGATATAGAACTCTAAGGAGATGTATCTGAGTAAGACTTGGTATGCCTACATAAGCTTTATACAGAAAGTCTGTCACGTTCCTGCCTGTTCCATGGTTGTTTCACCAATCAAAGGGCACAAGCTACATATTGTGTCACTGTCACCAGTTGATTACATCAACATGTGTCATTTTAAAATGTGTCATTTTAAAAAGAACCAAATAGAAGTTGTTTATTATTACAGGTCATGAAGGTACAATCAATGTCTTTAACTCTTTTTTGTTGTTGTTTTTTAAACAACTAGGGATAATGTAAGGAATACAGAAGGTAAAAGGGGATATGGGGGGAAAGGGGGGTAGGAGAACACAAAATATACAGTCATCCAATCTGTTCATGTTGCAATATCAAGTCGACTTTCCGCCTTTCTATAATTTAATTGCCCTCTAGATTTCAACTTACAGTTACATCTTAGTTTAAATCTATGTTAATCAAACACTATCTGGGGACTCAAGCCATTTGTATAATAAATCCCATTGTTCAGTTGCCTTTTGTATTGGACAGTCTTTCAACACTTCTGATAGAATATCCATTTCTGCCGCTTCCCATATCTTCTCAATGAGTTCTTGTTTCGGTATCTCCAATTTCTTCCAGTTCTTAGCACAAAGAATTCTAGCTGCCGTGATTGTATATATGACTAAGTAATTCTTTGTCTTATCTATATTGTCTGGAATAATGCTCAGCAAAAACAATTCTGGGGTTAGTGGAACATTACAAAGCAATATTTTTTGTAACAGAGTATGTACTGCTATCCAATACTGTTTCGCTACTCTACAAGTCCACCCCATATGGTAAAAGCTTCCCTCTTGTGCTTCACACTTCCAACAAACATTTGACACCTCTGTATAAATCTTTGGCAGTTTTTCCCGAGTCATATGCCACCTATAAAACATCTTGTATATGTTCTCCTTGAAATTTACCAATTTTGTGAGCTTTATGTTATTTGTCTATATTTGCAACCATTGATGAATATCAATATTATGTCCTATATTTTGTGCCCACCTAATCATACATTCTTTGACCATCTCATCTTGCACTTTAATTTCTAGCAAATAATCATACATTTTCTTAATGTATTTGAGCTCAGCAGAAGTTTATCGAATATTGTTTGTTCTGTGTAAAAGCCCTCTATTTTATCTCTTTGAAACAGTGTGAAATTTTCTTCTGAGGTACTCTGAATTAATCCCAGATCTGGAATACACCATCTTTATATAAGCCTCCAAATCTCTAGCTTGTTCAAGAGGTATCTGTGAATAGATCTCAGATAAAACTCCCCCTATCTGTGACATTAAAAGTATCATCCTCTCATCATCTTTAACCCTGAAGTCCCAACAAGTTCTCTCAAAAGAAATCAGGAAAGATTCAGGACAATCTCCATTCCAATATTGGGGAAATTTCTTTAGGTCGATATTTGAAGGATTTATCACACTGCAATTATTATTATTATTTTGAGCAGCTAATTCCAATTTCTTCATCTCTATTTGGAATTGCATTTCCCTTTCCCTTTCTTTGATTTTTCTCTTTCCAGTTCTTGTTCAAATTCCCCTTTCCTTTCAAGTTCTCTGTACTCAAATTCCCTTTTTCTTTCAAGTTCTCTCATTTTTCTCTAATTCTAATTGATTTTTCAGACCTAGGTCCTTCGGTTTAAATTCTTGTTCTAGCTTCCATTTTTCAAAATCTTGGGAGCTTTGGATTTTTTTTTCCTTCTGAGGCAATTATTAGTGAGCCCTTAGTTTCTTCTTCACTTTGAATTTGAGGGTTCCCATTTCCCTCAGGACCCTGAGGCTCAACTGCCTCCATAACTGACTTTTTACTTCATTTGGGGTGGGCATAAATAATGCAATTTCTTATTAAACTCAACTGGTTCTTTTCCCTCACTAGAGCCAAAAGGACTTTTCTTTCAGTGGCTTTCCTTATAACTAACTTGCACTTTTCCAAGCAACTTGTCTTGGCTACTCCCAATCTCACAACCCTTGCCACAATATTTCCCTGTCTGGACAATTCTTTTTTCCAGATACAAGAACAACTTTCTGCTTAGCTTTTCTTTACTTTTAGCTTTTATTATCACCTCAGCATGGCTTCTACTCCATTCACTACTGCTCATTACCCCTCAGAGCCTTGTATTTTTAGCTAGCCAAGCAGTTGCAGTGGTAGCCACTATAGCAATTACACACATGACATGTGTCGTTTTCCAGGTACTAGCTGCTGGGATTAATGGAAAGCACATTGCCAGCCCATGGAGAGGTTTTCTCCCCATTGTACACATCACATCTACCAAGCCCTGAGCAACAAGGCAGGGCTTTCGCCGTCCCCCTTGCCTTGTTCCAACTGCATGAGAAGTCTAAGGGCGTGCACCCACCAACTTTCTCCTCCTTTCACTCCTGACATTTTTGGCGGTCCAACACACTGTGTTAGCACAACACACATCAAAACACCTTTCCACTGAGAGCCAGCATGGTGTGTTACTGCCTGGGAATGGGCATGTATGGATTCTATTTTCTGCCTTTAAACCTGCCTCAGACATAAAAATCAAATGTTCTCTATCACTTTGCTTAGCCTGAGATTTATCGCCCTCTTAAAAGTCAGCCAGCACCCTGGGACCTGGCAATTCTAAGTCCAATCACTGACATTAGAGAATCATAGAAAAATAAGATATACGTAGTTGATGCCTGCATTAGACCTACATATTCAAATCTAAGAGTAACTTTCCTGGCAAAATCCATCTTGCCTTGAACGTTAAGACTATAAGTTCTTCACTCTGTGATGGATTTTTTAGTGGTCTGTAAAGATATCACAAATTCTTGCATTTGTATTTTACTGTGTTTGTTAGTTTGTTAGGAATGGAATGGCAGCTGATTGTGCTTTACCTCTGAGGAACTGTTTAGTAACTGTGCTGTTTTGACCCTCCCTCCCTCCTTCGCTCCCCATTTTCCCCTTCAGCATTATCTGACCTGTTTCAGTGGCACCATCGCTGTTCCTTTCCTCCTGGCAGAGTCCCTGTGTGTAGGGAAGGACCAGTATACCATCAGCCAGCTCATTGGCACCATCTTCAGCTGTGTGGGGATCACCACTCTCATCCAAAGCACTGTGGGCATTAGGTAAATTTGCTCCCAGCTTGCCTTTGACGCCCTTCAGGGAAGGGAAAGATCAGCGCATAGACTAGCAAATCATGTTTTTTTCTTCTTGACAATCCAGACTTCCACTGTTTCAAGCCAGTGCTCTCGCATTCCTGGTTCCTGCCAAGTCTATCCTGGCACTGGATAAATGGAAATGTCCTCCGGAAAGTAAGTGAAGCTGGCACAACCTGCTGGTTAGTGGGAGACAGTGCAAGTCCTACAACAGAACTGGAATAACCTGAGGGCCTCTTACTACTGGTTTAATAAGGCCAGCCAGTTCCCAAAGAGTAATGTACTATATTATAAACATTCACCTGCATGGACTACTGATTTTCTGTTTTGGAATGAGAAGGATTTGATCATATACCCATTTCCGTAATAGGGGGAAAGCCACTTTAGTTATCATTTGCCCAGATTACTGATTTTTCACATGGGTAGTTATCAATTTGTACTAGAAGGACTTTTCCCCTCATAGAACTACAGCAAGGATGCAGAATCTGTGACACTCCGCGTGCTCTTGATTTTTAGTTTACCTCGACCCCAGACAGTCTGATCAGCAGTTGAGGGTGATGGGACTTGTAGGCCAGCAACACAGACAGGTTCCCCATCCTGGCCTAGAGACATTTAAGGCTGCAATGCTATGAACACTTGCTATTAAGTCATAATGCACTCAGTGAAATATCTCCAGAATTATATATAAAATTGTACCGTCAGCCTCCTTCTAGCAAAGGTGTGATAAGCATGCCTTTGTAGAACTGTGCTGTCAATCTGCCTGCCAGTACAGACTTCATCAGATGTTCTTCTTTGGTTGCCTCCACTCTGAGACAGGGGGGTTGTTCAGGGTGGCACCCAATATCAATCTTGTCTAAGTAATTTTTGTGTGTGCCCTCATTACTGCATTTTGGAACTAAGGTTAAATTTGTCCTCTTCATCTGAAGCTGTCATGAGAACTAGCAAGGATGTTCCCTTAAGTCCTGTCTACCTATTTATTTGTTTTTAGGTTTTGTTATTTAATTTGTTTCATGTCACCATTTGTAATTATATATACAGTAGGACCCCCTTATCCATAAGGGATGGGGCACACTCATGTGCATGCACAAACGGGCGGAATGCGCTTGTGTGCATGCGCAAAGGGGCAGGGCATGCTCGCGGAGGGGCAGGGGGTGCTTGCAGGTGGGCAGGGCACCCGTATGTGTGTGTGGTGGGCTGTGCATGCAGGTAGGGTGGGTGGAGGAGTGTTGCAGGGGGGCGGGGGGAGATCTCTCTTCACGGCCCAGTCCTGCCATGGCCACAGACCGGCACCGGGCTGCAGACCAGGAGTTGGGGACCCCTGTTCTAGACCATGAGCTACCATGGAACAAGACCTCTGAGCTTCCCAATACAGTGGTGCCTCGCTTAATGATTGCCCCGCATTATGATGAAATTGCTGTACGACGATCTGTTTGCAATCGCAATTGCGATCGCAAAATGATGGTCTAAATAGGGTTTTTTTGCTTGGTGATGATCGGTTCCCTGCTTTGGGAACCGATTCTTCACAAAACGATGTTTTTTTAAACAGCTGATCGGCGGTTTCAAAATGGCCACCGGGTGCTTAAAATGGCTCCCCGCTGTGTTTAGGGACGGATTCCTTGCTATACAGGCAGCGAAAATGGCTGCCGTATGGAGGATCTTCGCTGGACGGTGAGTTTTTACCCCATTGGAACATATTGAATGGGTTTCAGTGCATTTCAATGGGGTATTTAATTTTGTTTTACAATGTTTTTGCTTAATGGCAATTTTCCTGGAACGGATTATCGTTGTTAAGTGAGGCACCACTGTAGATTTAATTGTTGGGCCTGAATGGACTCTGTAACATTTAAATATTAAAATTGATACGGTGTTGTAAAGAATACAGTGGTGCCTCACACAGCGAAGTTAATCCGTCCCGGATTAACCCTCGCTGTGTGAAACATTGCTGAGCGGGGCAGAAAAGCCCATTGGAACGCATTAAACAGTGTTTAATGTGTTCCAATTGGCTGCTGTACTCACCGTTCAGCGATGTTTCTCCGATGGCCGGCAGCCATTTTCGCGTCCTCCCCTCGCTAAACAGGGCGCAAAAAGGGCTGCGATCAGCTGTCCGGCGGGTCCAAAATGGCCACTGGAACAGCCGAAATGGCCGGCCGCAGTGTTTTCGAGCCCTTGGTAAGCGAGGGGAGGGTGCGAAAACGCTGCGCCCGGCCCTTTCGGCTGTTCCGGCGGCCATTTTGAAGCCGCGGAACAGCTGATCGGCGGGGCGCAAAGTGAAGGTCGGTAAGCGAACCGCTTACTGACCTTCGCTCTGCGATTTTCGCCCTTTGGGGGCATCACTCTGCGATCGCATTAGTGATCGCAAAAGCGTCACCGTAGAGCGAATTCATCGCTCTACGGGGCGCTCGTTGTGCAAGGCACCACTGTATATAGGTACTGTAAAGAATTCACATTTAGCCAGTCTGCACGGGTTGTTTTATTTGGATCACTTGGATGACCACCGTCACTTGTTTTAGTGGATATCAAAAGATTCTGCCTTTGCTTCTATTTTTTTATTTATAGGCCGTGTTTCACCTCATAATAGGACCCTTTTGTTCTGCCGACCCTTTCTTCCTATTTTCATGTGTTTGTTTGCTTTTCTTCCCTCACTCTACAGAGGAGATCTATGGCAACTGGACATTGCCACTGAACACATCTCACGTATGGCAACCAAGGATAAGAGAAGTAAGTTGAACCAAATCTCCTCCCTGCCAATGGGAAGACCCCCCTACCTTGGCCTAGTGATGTTCTCAGGGGCACAGGGGCATTGCCACAATCCTGGATGCTCCCCCCATTTCCTTCCTGCTTGTGCCCATTCTGACGACATCCGTTTCTCTCCCTGTTCCTACAATAGCTTAGCATTCTCTCTCTCTGTCTCTGTTTCCTTTCTAACTGTTCTCCTTTCCCACTCACAGAGCTGTTTTTCCTCTCTTCTTCCACCTCACTCTTCCTGGTTCTCCTACCACTGCAATCTTGCCACGCAGCAGCAGAATTAAAGAACTTCAGGTGCACTCTGTTGGTTTTCCTGCCATGCCTAGGGACCATTTTCGAGGGAGCACAGAGGCCATCAGGACATGGGTCAGACTATAGTGTTCTCCAGAGCATGCCCAACCTGTGCTGAAAATTAAAGGAGCTTTTAAAAAGAAAGAGTAAGAACAAGTGCCATTCTTTAGGGATCTGGGGGCGGAAGAGTGAGCTAAGGAAGAATGAAGTGCAGTTGAGTGTTGGGCACTGCATCCGGGAGCCCTCTGGACTCAGCTAGAAGAGGGTTCTTAGAGGACCGCCCATGTGCCCTTCCAACACAGGATGCCACGACATAGAGGGAAGTCTAAACAGAATGTATGGCCACCCTATCGAAAACATCAGGGGCTTGTGCTTGGTGTTGATTTTTTCCCCATGAAATGTGAACTTACTTGTGTGCTTTAGCAACCCCATGTTCCACCTCTGCTTAATGCAACCACCTTCTCCCCTCCTTTTCTACCATAGATCCAAGGAGCCATCATCGTGTCGAGCCTTCTAGAAGTGGCAATTGGGCTGATGGGCCTCCCGGGGGCCCTGCTCAGCTACATCGGGCCTCTCACCGTCACACCCACTGTCTCCTTAATAGGCCTCTCCGTCTTCCAAGCGGCAGGGGACCGAGCTGGATCCCACTGGGGCATCGCAGCATTGTAGGCTCTGCTTTTAATGTGCCTTGGCATTTCAGACTGAAGCAAGGGTAGGGGAGTAGGAAAAGCACTATAGAGCTGGAGAACTATAAATGAATTCTAGAGGTGCAGACCATCCAGTTGCCCAAACGCTCCCTCGGCAGCTGCCTCTGCTGCCAGACCAACTCACGTGAAGCAATGCGTGAAGTTCCCAGTGACTGTTTTTCTCACTGGTCAGGTTTTTAAGAAGACTGTGTGAGCGTGTGAGTGCACAACTGTGCATTTGTGCAAGCTTGTGCACTTGGCCACACACAGAGATGAAAAGAGGAGAGATGAACTAGCACTGGAAGCATAATGTGTTGGTAGCTGGCTAAATTAAAAATACTAAGGAGGCCTGCATTGGAGATTATAAAAATAGGTTTAGCATAGCAAGGGTGATAGTAATTATGGAGGTGATGGTAACAGTGATACTAATTGCTACCAGTGCTTCAGTCTCCATTTCTGTGGGGTTATAGCTCTGCAGTTCTCCTGTATGTCCATGGAAAAATGTGTGCTTACATGAATGCATGCGTAATTGTTGTACTGTGTTGCCGTCACTGGGGAACAGATATGTAGGACCACAGTGGGTGAACTGCCTGTAGCTCACTGGTGTGTGATTCCCATTGACTGCACTGAAATTGGGCTTTAGGAGCCTAATTCTGGGCCTTTCCCCAACCAGATCTGGGATTTCATGTGAAATGAATTAAATGGTCACCAGTGGGTTGGACAGAACGTTGTTGCTCAAAAGCAGAAATAGGGAAATGGGAGCCTTCCGGCTCTTGTAATACAAGAACCCCAGTCTTTGCTGACTAGTGGCCATGCTGGCTAGAGCTGATCCAAGTGCAACAAGGTATAGGAAACCTATATAGGCCTGGGTCTAAGCGGACGAGAGCTCGAAACTTTATTCCCTAGAGCCTAACACTGTAGTTTAGAAGTGGCAGCGCTACTCCAAATTGCTGGGATCTGCCCTAGGAATTGTTACCCCATGATAGTAGTGGCACAATTAAAATAGAGGCCATATATATATATGCTCCTGCAAAGTAAAATGAAAGTAACATGAATGAAGCAGGGGGCAGAAAGGAGATATTAAGAATATTTTGGTGCAGACCAAGAAACACTAGCTTTCGAATTAAGCATGTAACTATCACGTAGGCTAAACTTTCTCACGGTTGCAACTATTCAAGGCAGAATGGAAAGAATGCACGTTAGGCTCTCCATGAGGCTCTGATTCGATGACTTCTGGAGAGGAAAGGGAAACAGGGTTCTAAAAGAATAGGCTACTGTTAAGGGATAAGTCACTTAAGAAAATCAGATCAAATCCTCTCTCATGTTAAATGTCTTCTTACAGCTCTGTGAAAATACACTCATGTGATATTCAGCTGATGCTAAGTTTTGTTTAAAACATGCAGAAGGAAAAAAGCCCGAGAACAGTCAGGTGATGATGCATGAAAACTCTGAACAGCAGCAAATAAACAAACAAACAAATTCAATGTTAAGTCTTGTGAGTTAAGTCTTGTGAGTTGGTGAGTTAGTTGGCTGCAGGTTGCCCTTGGACTCTGCTTTTTCACTATTTTTCTTTATTCCTTCTAACAGGTCAATTGTTTTGATCATTCTATTTGCTCAGTACCTACGAAATGTGTCTTTCCTCCTGCCCGGCTACAAATGGGGCAAAGGATTCACGCTGATCCGGGTGCAGATCTTCAAGATGTTTCCAGTAAGGAGGGTTGCTTTTATTGGTTGGCTGATGGAACAGGTTTACTGCGGTCACAGTATGGTCAGATTCAAAGGATTTGACTCAAAAGGGAGATTATTAAAGGACTGGTTTTATTTAGTACATATTTCATCTACCCTTCCCCTAATAAGGTCTGGGAGATCCAGAACCCAACTATCCCTATTTTTATTCTCCACCCAAAGGGGATTTGGAGTCGTCTCAGCCTAAGTCAAAAACTCTGCGCAGGCTGAATTTAACAATGAAATGTTAATAATAATAATAAAAACCCTCTATGCAGGCTGTTTCCAGGAATGTGGCTTCATCTACTTGGTTTTTCCCTTGTCATTATATTAGAAACTCCTGTTTCACCCAACTGAAACTGCTTTCTCTGACTATATTACCAAAGGGGCATCTACCCAGGTCATTTACAGTTTGAATTGAACACAGAGTGGACAAAACTAAATTAAAACTGGTGATTATACAAAGCAAAGCTAAGTGCAAAGAAGCCTGGTTGGGAGGCATCTTTTTTGCAATTAGTGTTTTTTTTTTCAGTTTAGCTGACCAGATTGTTTAATTTTGCGATGTGCTGGCATAGCTTTCGTCCACTTTCCGCTCAGATCCAACCCAAAAGGATGTCCGTTTCCCTTAGTCAAGGACCTGTTGTCCCCAAACAGTTTAAAAAGAAGGCGTTAAACATCAGTGCTGAAATGAATCATTGCTAAGCTACTTTGGGGGGAAAAAATTCAAATAGAGGTGAAAATTGACCTTGTCAGATCAAAGGTGCTGACGGTTAGTCCACTATTGGAGTGAAAAGAAACATCTGTTTCAGTCATGAGAAATTTGTTGCAGTTGTCTGGATAACTACAGTGATTTCACCAGCAGGAATCCATCTTGAAAACTGCGGATCACAGCGGTTCTAAGTTTTCCTTGCTGTATAATCGTACCCTTGGACAGTTTTTGAGAGGGGTTTGTTCTGTCTTCCTGCAGTTTTGCTTCCCCTTTCAGAGTGAAACAAACTCCCCTGGAAGGGAGCAGAACCGTTTGCAATATCTCCCTGTGTTTCTTCTTCAACAGATAATACTGGCCATTTTGGTGGTCTGGCTGCTCTGTTACATTCTGACCGTAACTGATGTATTTCCTCGCGATGTAAATGCCTATGGATACAAAGCCAGAACCGATGCTAGAGGAGAAATCATGTCCATTGCACCGTGGTTCCGCTTTCCTTACCCATGTAAGTAGTGAGCGGTGGGTTCACTCTTGGCTCTCCCTCTCTCCCCATGTAATTTTCACAATAACCTTGTGTGGTACATAAGGCCTGGGCTTCAGAATGAAGATATAAACACAAGCTCTTCCAGCCTGCCCAGCCACAACATATAAACTTTGCTGTGCTATTCTTCTGACAGAGGCCGTTCAAAGAGATCTTCCAGACACAATATTGATGGTTGTTTGCCACTTTGTGTCAGGAAATCATGGGATTTACTGGGATGAATGGTTCAGTGTCTTGCATTCACGGGTCTCAATGCTTGCCAACACCTCACCCCATCCTCTCTGCCAAAGATTTCATCAGAGTGTTGGCGATGAGGATTTGCCTTGATTACAACATGAGAAAAATGCAAGGAAGTATTTGTGAAGGCTTGCACGGCTGGGATCTAATGGTCATTGTGGGTTTTTCGGGCTCTTCGGCCGTGTTCTGAAGGTTGTTCTTCCTGACGTTTCGTCAGTCTCTGTGGCCGGCATCTTCAGAGGATAGGGGTAGCAGTGATGCTGGCCACAGAGACTGGCGAAAAGTTAGGAAGAACAACCTTCAGAACACAGCCAAAGAGCCCGAAAACCCCACAACAACCAATGCAAGGAAGCGTCTGGCATTTCCATGGGCTTCCTTCTTCTTGACAGCTGGCAAAGTGGCACTAGGGCAGTTTCAGTGAGGACACAGTTATAAGGAGGATGTATGCTTGTGTGGGTGAATTCTGTGTGATACCAAACCTAAAGCAGAAGAGATTAGAGGAATGGTTGCCCCAAGCAAGGGACCTTTCTTCTTCCCCCTCTCTAGAGAAGCAACAGCCTGTAGCCAGAGAGGGAGGCGGGACTTCAGCGCTCCAGAGCTGTGCTGGAGCTTCCTGCTAAAAGGGCCACAAAGTGCCACAGCACTGAACTCTGCTCTTTAGTACAAATCAACACAAAGATACAAACCAAAAGGTTTTGAATGGGAGAAAAAGATATAGGAACTTTTTTTAAAAAAGCCTGGTACAAAGAGAGGTAAGAGGAACATTGTTGGAAAATTCTAGGGAGACCCTGACAGAATCTGGAAAAAAGGGTCAGATAAGTGTTGCTTCTGAAAACCCCTGCATTTGTGATGGATCAAGGAGAGTACCCACCAGGGGCTGTGAATGCTTTGTGATTTTCATATGCATGTTAAGAATTCCATACAGAATTTGATAGAAATGAGTATTTTTCATTTTAAAGCTTGACAATGAATCTGTTATGAACTGATGTTTGAAAACATTTGTGCATTGTATGAAAACTGCTCCTGGAGAAGAACTTGTGTGCTTTTGTGTCTGCCTCATCATTTGTCTCTTGGGGAACGTCATCTGTGTTTTTTCCCCATTCATATATTCTTTTCTTACTCACCACTACTGTCCTCCAACAATTACAATGGCCCTTGGGATATCTGTCCCATGCTCCCATCCCAGACAAACCACCGTACCAAAAATGAGTATATAAAATGCAGTGGGAGAATGGTGTTAATATGTTGAAGCATCAGCTAACATGAACTGTGGCTCAATTTATCTGATGGACAAACTGGATTTTCTCTTTTCTATAATGTTCCCCTGTTTTCTGCCTCTACTTATTCATCCGGGAAAAAGATCTGTGTGTCAAAGTGGGGTGGAGGGCATCATAAAGCCAATCAGGTGCTGCATTTTACCAGTCTCTGAGGCACTAATCAGATAATATGTTGAACAGGTATTCGTAGGAGGGCTTCTTTAAGCTGGGAAAGATGTCTGTTTGGCATTTTATTCTAGGCCATGCTTGCTGGGGGACTCTGGGAGATGTAGTCTAAAATATATATAATGTTTCCATACTCTGATCTAGACAGAGTTAAAAAAAAAACAGTAGTGCATCAAAAGTAGAAAATGGGACTGACTGAAAAAAAAGAGACATGGAGAGAACTGAAGGTGTCACCCTAGCCCAACAGTGGAGAAAGCGTGGCCCTCCAAATGTTGTTGCACTGCAACTCCCGTCAGTCCTTGCCAGCATGGCCAATGGTTAGGCATCAGGGGAATTGTAGCCCAAGAGCCTCTAGAGAGAGGCAAGTTCCCTCTGTCTGCCCTAGTCATCCTCCTCCTAGCTCCCTCCAGTTGCTTTCATTTGATCTCATGACATTTGGATCCTTCCAGAACAGGAGTTGACCTTTCTGTTTGCATTCTGCCCCACATTTACAACAAAAACTAGACTCTGACACATCAACACATCTTCCAGAACCTTTAAGGTTGTGTGGGCATTGCATTCAAATGTCAGCTGGATCGATCTATAAGCAAGTAGATGCCTATGTATATAGAATGGTTCAGGAATCCGGCTTATTTTTTTGGGGGGGGTTGAGCTAAAAAGGCCAAAGACAGATCCCATGGGGTGTGGCGAAGAGTTAGGGTTGTGGCATGAGAGAAGAGAGATGTGGGTTCTAGTCCTCACTCAACTATGGAACTCACTGAGTGGCCTTGATCGCCTTGGCCTTGTTACTCTCTCAGCCTGATTTATCTGACAGGGTATTTGTCAGAGAGTAAACCAGTGAAGAGGAGAGCCAGTTAATGCCACCTTGATAGGTATGTAATTATAATTTTAAACTTTAATACTGAAGCTTCCCAGTTCAGATGTCCTTAGAAGACAACTCCCTAACCGTTGGCAGGGCTACCTAGGATTTTTTTTTTTTGACGTTGTAGGTCCAGGATCCTCCAGGGGCCCAAGTCTGGGACCCTCTGTTCCTAAACCTGCTCTCTGTTCTTGGCTTGAGATGCTCCAGCTAAGCCTTTGCTGTTCTTTGCTTTCTTCTAGGCCAGTGGGGGCTCCCCACAGTGACAGCTGCAGCTGTGCTGGGCATGTTCAGCGCCACCTTGGCTGGGATCATTGAGTCCATTGGGGATTATTACTCCTGTGCTAGGCTTGCAGGGGCTCCTCCTCCACCTGTGCATGCCATCAACAGGTAAGAGACCTGAAGCATCCTCATGGGGGCTTGGGTGTGCCTACCTTGGAAAAGCATGCCAAGGGTGTGAGCCCCCTTGCCTCTTTGTACAGGAGATGCTTCGTGGAAGAAACTGGCTCCAGGCTGGTATTGTGAGAGGTTCAAAGTCTTCTCCCAGATCATGTGGGTGGTCGGGGTGTGTGGAGAAGACCTACATTTTTACCGTAGGAGTGCGGAGGGGAGTTTACTGGGAAGAGACATGGAAAGTCTAATGCAAATTGTTGGGTTTTTTTTGTTGTTTTCTTCCCTCTCAGGGGCATTTTTACAGAGGGAATCTCTTGTGTAATTGCCGGCTTGCTGGGCACTGGCAATGGTTCTACTTCCTCGAGCCCCAACATTGGAGTCTTGGGCATCACCAAGGTACCGTCCTGCCATGCTTGACAGCATCTTCTGCTTCTAGGGACTTGCTCGGGGCTGACCCATGACATTTTGTTGCTTGAGGAAGTTGATAAAATGATCCCCCCCTCCTCATGAAGCCAAGGTACCTTCCACTCAAGCACCGTTAAGGCATTTGGGTACCTGAACTAGACACTCCCACAAGCACCTCTTTTCTTCCTTTGCCCGGCAGCAAAAATGTAATTAATGAAATAACTACTATCAATATGTTGTTGTTTTTATTGGTAACAAATGTCTGAGGCAGGTGGCTCACATTGAATAAGGGTAGGGCCATCTTCAATATTGCTAGATTCTGGCTAGTCACAGTCTGTGGAGATAATATGGAGTTGGAAAGGGCTCATGTCTGCTTCTGTCTTGTGCCTCCAGAAGCAGCACAAAACCTCAAGTTTATGCCACTTGTGTAATATAATCAGCAGGTTTCAATCTTGTAACCTTGTCTGAATAATTACGTTGGTTTCATTCACATTATAATTTATTGCCAGGCGAATCACTGGAATAAATCAGTTATCTCTTGGCGGTGATGGTGAGGGGAAGTTCACGGAATGCCAGGACCGAATTAGGGAACTACTTCCTTTATCAATTAATTAAATGTATGCCTCATTTTTCTGCCAAAAAATATGCTCAAGATGATCTTATACTAAGTGAAGCTATTTGCCTATCTGAGTAAGTACTGTAGAATCATGTGACAAAGAAAGTATACCCTCTTTAAATTGTGTGGCTTTACATATTGGAACATATTGAAAAATCATATGGTTCTTAGCAAGTCTGAAAATTAGGTAAATACAACCTCAGATGAACAACAACACTTGGCATATTGCACCATGTCGTGATCAATTTTACAGTGATAAAGCCAACCTGGAGAAGCGTTTTGCCCAGTAAGGCCCATTTAATTTCAAGAGCCTTATTTCTAAGCAGACAGGAAAAGTGCTCCGAATGTCAGTTGGCCAGTGGAAATAAGTATGTATAGTCACCTCTGTATTAAAATTGAAACTCTATTAGAAGATTATAGCCGGTACATGACAGTGGCTGAAATCCTGTCATTTCATGTAAAATGTTGCACTAGAGTAGACTCATTGAATCAGTAGTAAGTTGCAACTACAATAGGCTCATTTGAATCGATGTAACTTATGGAGGAGCTGATTCACCAAATCCCACTGATTCAGTGGGCTGACTCTAGTGTTACTAAGCAACAGGATTTCAGCCCATGTGTGTACACACATCCTGAGGGCTTCTCTCTAGAGCAGAACAGCCAATATCACCATGGGAAGCAGACGTCTATAGAAGATTAATAATAATAATACCGAGACGGACCAATGTGTGAATAATTGGCTGTGTGGCTGTCTTCATTATGCAGGTGGGCAGCAGGAAAGTGGTGCAATACGGTGCTGGCATCATGCTTATTTTAGGAACCATTGGCAAGTTCACGGCTCTGTTTGCCTCCCTTCCCGACCCCATCCTGGGAGGGATGTTCTGCACTCTGTTTGGTAAGTGATCTTGCATCATATTGCAGTGACAATGACACATCAAGCCACGTTATGGGATTGCGAAACAAAACAAAACAAAACACCCCACAACTCATTTATTTTAGGAAACTGGTTTTCCTTTTGAAACGTGAGGGGACCTGGGATTGCAGCTGTAACCTTGACTCCCCTCTCCAGGAGAGAGATGGCCTATGAATCAATCAAACAAAAATAGAGAATAATTTGTACAATACTTCTTTTTTTGCTTTATAATCTGCCTTTCCACTAGAAAGTGGCATTCAAAGCAACTCATGATCTTCATATAAGGATTTTTTTAAAAAACAACAACAGGTAAAACTGAATTCAACTGTAAAATCTTAGCATCAGATAAAACCGGCCCCACTGTAAAAGCCATTACAATCAACCGGAGGCATTAAAAGCGCAGAGTTAACAAACAGGAGCATTAAGAAAAATGCATGAGGGCAGGCTGAACATCAAATGCCAGTTTGAAAAGATGGGTTTTTACACTCTTCTTAAAATCAGACTGAGTAGAAAGTGATCACAACTCTGAAGGGATTGTCTTCTCAAGGAGTGACGCAAGCTGATCCCACCCCTGCCTCCCCCCCAGGCTACAATAATTGGTTTTCTTTTTAAACCAACAATGTATACATTATTTTTCTGTGAGCATTTTTAGGTTATTGCTGGGCATTTGCTCTGGTATTTCTCCACAAATATGCACTGTTTAGAAGACTTTTACTTAAAAAAAAAACACCAACAACACCCACAGAGGATTATGCTTTCTTATTTGCATAGCAAGCCCCATGATGCAACGAAATGTAGATACTGCTAGCGCAGTCATTTACTAATATGTGGGGGGCAATGGAACTTTGAAAAGTTCAGTGATACCTGCAGGGCACTGTCAGTAGTGTCAGGATTTCTAGTAGACTGAGACCACTGTTGGAGAAGAAGGGGTTGCTAGCCCTCCTGGTTATTCTGGAAACTATGCAAATCTAGATGGCATTGAAAATGGCCAAAGATTATCTCCGTTTGGGCTAAAACTAAATGAAGGATAGGGTGAGATGTCAGGTGTTCTCTTGTGGACAGGGAAGGAATGTCAGGCAGTTTCACAGACAAAAATAAACTTATTGTGTTTAAAACACTTCCTGGGCCTCAACAGAATCAAACGGATATAACTTAAGCTGTAGCTGAAAATGGTATTGAAGTAAAAACTATAATAATGGTTTGATTCCTGGACACCAAAATCGACCACTTCAAGCAAATTAAATATCCCCTTAAAATGTTAATTGGGGGCAGTTGTGTTCTCACAGTTCTTCTACAAGCGTTTCTTTTCTGTACAGTGCTAAATGCTACTGAAACTCCCCCTTCCCCCAGCCTCTTATATTTCACCAGGTGCATCCGCCATATTGGCAACCTTTGACACCCCGTCCAGGGGTTTGGAGATATGCAAGGACTGCCTCTGGGACTGTAGCCAGGCAAGGGCTTACATAAAGCCATTACTATGGATAACATAAAAGGGACATGGTGGCGCTGTGGGTTAAACCACTGGTTCTTAACCATCAGTTACTCAGGAGTTTTGGACTGCAACTCCCAGAAGCCTTCACCACCAACTGTGCTGGCTGGGGTTTCTGGGAGTTGCAGTTCAAAAACATCCGAGTAACAAAGGTTAAGAACCACTGGGTTAAACCACAGAAGCCTCTGTGCTGCAAGGTCAGAAGACCAGCAGTCATAAGATCAAATCCACACGACAGAGTGAGCTCCCGCTGCTTGTCCCAGCTCCTGCCAATCTAGCAGTTTGGAAGCATGTAAATGCAAGTAGATAGATAGGTACCACCACGGGTGGGAAGGTAACGGTGTTCCGTGTCTAGTCGAGCTGGCCACGTGACCATGGAAACTGTCTACGGACAAATCCTGGCTCTATGGCTTGGAGACGGGGATGAGCACCGCGCTCTAGAGTCAGACACGACTGGACTAAATGTCAAGGGGAACCTTTACTTTTACTATGGCTAACATAGCAATAAAGAGGTGACTTTTTGGGTTGCAACTCCTCTAACCCTCCATCTAGAATAGCCTGTCTGGGGGATGCTGGAACTGCTGGAAACCAAAGAAAAACTGGCTGTCAGCCCTTTCCCTACTCCAAATTTGCATATACTCCTGGCACTAGCCATACTTTTTTTTTGAAGTATGATCTCTCTCTCTCTCTCTCTCTCTCTCTCTCTCTCACACACACACACACACACACACACACACACACACACACAAAACCTGTGTGTGCAGGAGGAAGCTACTTGGGAGGAGGTGATTTGGAGCAGAAAATGGTTAATTAGTCTTCCTTCTTTCCTCTGTTGTTTTCCCATTCTGTCTCCTCCCAAAGTGGCTTTGCTTTGTTTTATTTTTATTTTTTAATTTACAGAATGCCAGGAGGTGTTAGATGTAACAAACATTCAGCATGGCAGTCGTGAGAGAAAGGGACCATACACTGGCTTAGGATTCTATTAAAGCAAAATAAAAAGCCGGATATCCCCTCCCTCTCCCTCTCTCTCTCTCTCCCTCTTTCTCTCTCGCAGGCATGATCACAGCGGTGGGGCTCTCCAACCTGCAGTTTGTGGACATGAACTATCCCCTCCCCCCCTCTCTCTCTCTCTCCCTCTTTCTCTCTCGCAGGCATGATCACAGCGGTGGGGCTCTCCAACCTGCAGTTTGTGGACATGAACTCCTCCCGCAACCTGTTCGTCCTGGGCTTTTCCATGTTTTTTGGACTCACGCTCCCAAGCTACCTGGATGCACATCCAGATGCGATCAGCACAGGTACCGAAATGCCACTGGGACCTTTCCCTCACCAGAGATAAGGAGGCCTTCCTTGAATCCTTGTGGCTCTCTGTGATCATGGCTGGACCCTCAGGCAGAGTGAGATGGCTGCCTTAAGCAGCCGATGGTGGGGAGTGGCAGGAGCTTTCCCTTCGGTCAGTCCTCTTGAGCCCCTCAGCCATTTCCATCCTCCTGACTTTGTGCTCCAAGCAGTAATTAACATTTGCTTGTTGCCAGTTTGTGGATGATGGGACGCTGGGAAAAGCAACCTCCTAAAAAAACAGAATCCAGATCCAACTATTATCCTCCTCTGCTGGAGCACAGGGTTGAATCCAAAAAGATGAAATCCAATTGTCCTGCATTTTTAGAGAAACCAAAAGCACAAGTATAGGATTTGGGAGACCAGGCTTGGGAGCAGCACATCTGAAGAAAAAAATATATATATCTAGCAGTATCTCATTATTTTTTGCTACACAGGGCAAAAAGACAAGATTGAGTCCCCACTTCTGTGTACAGAGGCTGACTGGACGGGCAGTTGCAACTTCTTTCGACATGGCAGATGGGGCCACTTTCCCCACCACCCCTGAGGCACCAGGCCTGCTTGACGTGGGCTGCCTCCATCTGTCCAGTGGTCAGGTTGCCGTTGCCTCGGTTGATCCTAAGCCAAACGTGGGCCAGCTGGGCCATGCGGCTGCTGAGCATGCCAGCTGCAGTTCTAGGCTGTATTAACGGAAGCCTAATATCCAAAGTTATGCCTGAATAAAAGGTTCTGGTTTATGTAGGGGCCCTCCCTGTATGCACCAGCCCAGCTGCTCCTTACACTTCCCTCACGAGTCCTGCTCTTTCTACTCTTGCTTTCCCAGCCAAGAAGTTCTATGGAGAGAACTTTTCCCTTCAGATTTTCTAGCTCAAAGGTGGGAAGGTTGGAGTGGGGAGCAGATGGGGATGCTGGAGGGGGGGCCAGGACCAGCATACACATTCCCTATTCACATATCACTGCCCCAGCCTGTTTCTGTGCTAGTCATGCTGTATCTGGAGCATTGTGTCCAGTTTTGGGTGCCAGACTTTAAGAGAGATCTGTACGAACTGTGTGCAGAGGAAGGGGAGCACGACGGAATGGTTAAAAGAGCCGTGGATATTTAGCTTGGAGAAGAAGAGGTTAAGAGAAGACTAGCTAGTGATACCACACAGAAGATGGAAGAGATGCAGGCCCAGGCCCAGCACTGAGTGAGTAAGAGACCCTCAGGGAGCAGATGCTGAGGAGCAACGGTGGGAGCTCCCCAGCGGTTCCTCCTGGACCCTCTGGCCTTTCCTTTCTCTTGGAGGGGTCAGGCAACGCTGTGTATACCTCTCACCCTCTCCTCCTCTAACTCGGCCTGGTGTCCTCAGATGTGATGCAGGATCCGGTTTCCATTGCCAGTGTTAAAAGTAAGGTTTAGCTGCCCGCTCCGTCTGTTTCTGTACTCCACCTTGAACACACAGGGAGCGATGGTGGTGCACAAATTTTAATGATGGTCGTCCTTTTTCCCCTGCCGGAAAGTGACAAATAAGGCAACTGTTACTGATCTGGTAAGAATATTGCCAAATTCAGAGCTTTGCTTCTATGGTTAAGCCATGCAGATGTTTTGTATCTCGTGTTAGAAGGACTCTGTGGAGGCGCTGGAACTAATCTGAGGCTAATTTACATGCAAAAGTACAAACATCAAATTTGGATGGGAAGAGCAGGTTGCTTGCTTGCATCTGTGGCTCTTAAGTGGTTCTTTGCAAACTCACACATAGAGGGTCTTGTACCTGTGCAGCACCGTGCCTGGAATCTTCTAGAGCTGAAGAGCTTTTTGATGGCACACTGATCCCACCCCTCAGGGCATATACACAGGTGCACCTCAATAGCACCTTCCCAGTTCCCATCTGGCACCAGGTAAGCAGGTCACGGAGAAGGGACCCAGGTAAGTTGTGTGACTTCACAGGTGACCCCTCAACTGGATGGAGCAGGTCACGGAGAAGGGACCCAGGCAAGTTGTGTGACTTCACAGGTGACCCCTCAAGGAAGGGGTGGACTGCATTGTCATTTCCTCTTTGTAAACTGAGGAAGAAGTTTGGGTGAGGGAATCAGCAACATCAGTGCAGTTCCTGGACAGGGGAATTGCTGTCAAACCGATGTGATTTATACACTTGTTCCCACAGATAATGCACTAGGTAGTGTAGAACAGATAAATCTCTGTCATGCTGTTTGCTTAGGTAGTACCTGGGAGTTGTGTTCTCTCTTATTGCTTGAACCATGTCCATTGTGGAAAGATCTTTAAATGCCCGAGGGCTTTGGATATAACAAGACACACTCCAGAAATCCATTGTGGAAAGATCTTTAAATGCTTTGGATATAACAAGACACACTCCAGAATGTTGGTGTGTGATGGCTTCCTTCCTCAGGGACCATTTTGTATGAATGTGAAGATCTCAACAATGTGCTCTTTAGGTGGTTAAAGAAGCATCTGTCATGACTGAAACAGAGAGATGAGTTTTGGCGAAATGAGAAAACAGAGCAAGATTGGTTCACCAAATCAAATCAAGCTGAACATGATGAAGGGAGCTGAAGAGATAAGTCCTCTAAACCATCCTCTAATGAAGTGCCATACGGGAACCAAATGGTATCATTGCTGTTTGTAGAAGCCAGGAGATTCAATAGGCACTGAATGGAGTGGCTTGAGGAAAGCGGTTCTGTGACATTCAAAAAGTCAGTGCAGCCGAGGTTTTTACCCCCATCAGATGGGAGGAAGATATGAGCTGCTACAGAGTTCGGGTGTTGTTGTGGATAGTGTGGGCAGGATGAAACTGATCTGCAGTTTGAGGCTGTTGAGAAGGTTGAGAGTAACTTGGATATCTAACTGGAGCTGGAAATGGGACCTCGTCACTAGCAATTGATCATCAGTATAAGAAAAGTTGATCCCCTTGATGTGAAGAATCACGACCAAGCCTTTGGTAAACATTTGTGCCGCAGTGGCCAGTCCAGAAAGACTGCATCCTGAACTGGCAGAATCCCTTACCGAAGAATGAAATGGAGGTACGGATGAAGGAATTGATGACTGGGAGTATGAAAACAGGTGTCTCAGAAATCAGTCGACACAATCCAGTTGCCACGGAGAAGTAGGAAAGAACCTAGGGGAGAGAAACCAGACAAAATTCCTTTATCTTGATGAATGGGTTCAGATCCCCAAGAACCAAAATAGCCCAGAGCCTGCTGTTCTACTCGAAAATGATGAGGTGCCATGAAAAGAAGCTGGTGTGTGATGACCATGTTGAGGAGCTCACTCAGTAGTCTTTCTCTGAAGGAGAATTAAAAAAAATCCATCTCAAAGAACCTGTTAAGACAAGTGGGACACAGCGGTGGTAAGGAGTGGGGTTCCATGGCATACCCCTGGCAGATTATACTGAGCACTCCAGGAACTTTTCCATCTGTAGTCTTTGGTTGACATATGGTCTGAAGCCCGCCAATGGGGTGAGAGGTACAGTGTCTCCAATGACTGGCTCAAGGGATGACAGCATACAGGATGGTGAAGCATTAGAAGGATTCTTGGAACGGTTAGGGCCATCCTCTTGTGCTGGTGAATTATATGCCCGAGGAACCTGCTGCTGGCCCATAGAACTGATGGTGGCGCTGAAGTAGACACTAGAGAAACACACAGCTCTTGAGGGCTGGCCAAGGGCTGGAGGGCTAAAATTAGTGGCATGTCCTGTAAAGTGTCATTTTGGAGAGAAATTAGAATGGAGGCTGTTGAGGTCAGTGGCAGGGCTGAAATGTAGTAAGATGGTAATGCTGAAGTAAGAATGAGTAGCAAGGAAGTTGATATCACAAGTGGAGAATGAGTCACAGTGGCTAAAACACAGTAGTGAAGATGGTCAAACTCTGACTTGTTGCTAGCAAGTGCTGGTAGTGATAGGCCCATGGATGCTGATAATGTATTCCTATCTACTATGAAATTCCTCCTGATGGAGGAGGAATGGTGGAGCAGCAGTACTAAAAGGAATAATAATGAGGTGATTAGTAAAAACAGGATTGAAGCAAGTTTTCAAAATCAGTAACAGTGACATGATCAGGACTGGGGCTAGCATTTGTATCAAGGGTCACCATATGAAGGATTCCAGGGAATATCCTTCGATTCAGTAGAAGAACCCAACCATGGTGTTAGGAGAACTGGAAATGTACCTTGATGAACAACTATGATGGTGCAGAACAGAACGTAACATCTCTTATGTTAGGAGAACTGGAAATGTACCTCGATGAACAACTATGATGGTGCAGAACAGAATAACAGAAATGGTGCTGTGGTGGTTGAATGATGGGGCTGCTGCCATGATCAGTGTCCTGCAGGGTAATAAGAAAAGATATGTGCAGGTGCTTGGTCATATCCATCCCCTTCTGAAAACGAACCCAGACAACCTCCATCTTCAGCAGTGAGCCCTAGGAGGCTGTGCAGTGCCACTGAGGTCAGCAGCACTAAAGCCCGTTTGTACTGAAGGCACAAATGAAACAAGTGGCTCAAACAGTGTCAGTAATAAGAGCTATGGAAGATTGGTGAGAGTTATGGCAACAGACATGATGGGAGTGGGAGAATCCAACAGCATAGCAGGAAATAGGAGGCCAGTGCTGAAATCAGCAGAGATCTGGACGTCGTCACAGAAGATGTGGACTTCTCCGGGACTGAAGCAGTGTGACTGCTTTTATGCCAGCAGACAAAAAGGAATGGCAAACATGAAGTTCAGGCACATCTAGGCATGTGTGGTGAGGGGTGACATGGGGATTCCTGCTATAAAGCTACTCAGCTCTAGGAGAGTCTGGACATGGTTCTGCACAGTGTTAAGGAGCATATGTGTGAGTTAAAAAGATCACAAAGAGAAGCACATTGGAATATCTTAATTGTAGGCCAATACAGTATTTAACTTTATATTTGCAAACTCCTAATTTCTTGTAGGCATTGCTGAAGTGGACCAAATATTACGAGTGCTGTTGACCACAGAAATGTTTGTTGGGGGCAGCATTGCCTTCGTATTGGACAATACAGTTCCAGGTACAGTTATTTTCTAACTACCATACACTTTTCTGGCTTTTATAGTCTATGCCTTGACTGCACTCAGAATCGTAGGCATCCAATGTGTATCCAAGACAATGTAGTTCATGTACATGTCCTCACTGACTCTGGAAGAAAACTACTTAGTTAGCAGCATTGGCATTGTATTTTTCTTGTTGCGACTGATATTGTTGTTGCCACCAAATTAGTCTAGATATTGGACAGTGGCAAGGTGACAGAAAATATGGATCTGTACAAGGGATTCACACTTGTACAGCCATTCACTTTGGGGTGATGGATTCCTGTTTGACAGCAGAAACTCACTGGGGATTGATGCAGTAAAGCTGCTCCTTAAATCTCTCAAATATCTTAAAAACCTTATTAGGATCACCCTGAATTGGATGAGAGTTGCCTCCAGAACATTAACCTTCCAGTGCTGTTTTTTGTAATTAATTTGCTACGTTGAAAATATTTTCAAAGAAATACAGGCTAGCCTGAGAAGGGCAGTGGGAAGCACACAGAGGCTCTTAAAAGGCTTACAGTGCAACCAAATTGCCAAATTCTTCTTGTTTTTTGCCAGGAGGGAGGATGTGCAGGAGGAGGGGCCTCTTGCACTCTTACCCCAGTTAGTTACCATTTCTTTCCACTGGGAGCACTGGAAAGGAAATTGTGCCGATCAGTTCTAGCAATGTTTCTAAATGGTTCTTCGTAATAGGAGTATATTGGGGGAACGGGAGGGCTTTGGATCCTGAAGATCCAGCTCTTCCCCAATTCTACCCATACTGGAGGCCTGATCCTTCCCTTCCCTCTGGCACTGAAAGGGCTAGTTAGCAGTGTGGCTCCCCCGTAGACAGGGAGAGGAACTATGAGCTTAGATCTCCTTCTCCGAGATCAGAAAAACGTCTGCCTTCAGAATGTGGCTTTCAATCTATTCTATGGCCCTGGGGATTCTGTTCTAGGCACTTTAACATTTTATTGCCTGTAATATTCCCCCTCAATAAGGGAGTGTACCTGAAACACATCTAGATTTTCTGTGTTTTAATAAACAGAGTTTGATGACAACCTAAAATTTAAAACCTTTTATTAGGGAATAATGTTTCACAGGCCAGGATACATTTCAGCACATTGTCCAAGAAAGCCTACACCAGAATAAATGCTTTAGTTTTTAAAATGCCACAAAAATTGTTGGTTGTTGTTGTTGTTGTTGCAGTAACAGGTTAGCATGGCTACTCTTATAAAAATGTTTTAATAAAACTCTTGTCAAACACAGACAGTGGTGTAGCATAGGTGGCCAGCACTTGGGGCAAGGCAAGTATTGCAGGGTGTGGGTCACATGCTATCTCAGGGTGGGGTCATGAGAAGCCCCCAGGATGGCGCCACGAAGTGATTGTGGAGCTGTTCGAGGTCTGTGCTGGTGGTGGCAGCAGGCCCGACGCCCCTGGTGGCTTGGACTCAGACTGCCAGGAGGGAGGAGTGCCAGGAGCAGCTGCGGGAGCGCGCAGGACAGCCTACATGCCCCTAAGAATGCTACACCACTGCTTTGCATCCCCTAAACATTTTGCACTCAGAGTGACCACCCCGTGCCCCCTCCCACGCTACACCACTGAACACAGATCAGTTACTGAATTTGTACTATTATTTTCCTGCTGGGTAGCATATATTTTTAACAATCCATGCTGTGGCTTATACAGTAATTTGAATTAACTATCTACACAATATAGGAACCAATTCATTTATAGCATGGAAATAAATGTCTTGCAGCACTTTTAAGAGTAACAGGTTGACTGCAGCATGATGTGCCTGGCTCATCTCTGCTACATGCTTTTGGCCTGTCAGTCATAGGCAACACAGTTGATATCCATGCATCATAATCCGTGATGTATTGGATTGAGTGTAAAGTCAGATCTCAGTTCTTGTAACTACTGCTGTCTCATCAAAGCTGAGATTATTACACTCGCCACAGAGACAAACCACTCTTTCAATTTTGGCTTTTTGGTTACACAATTTCATGATTTAACTCTATACTTTGTAGTAAATTAAATGGTGGTAAATCTGTTTTTTGTTCTGAACTCATTTGGTGTTTGATAATCTGTATTCTGTCCCAGGGACTCAAGAGGAACGTGGTTTAGTACAATGGAAGGCTGGAGCACATGCCAACAGTGACACATCTGCAAAACTGAAGACTTATGATTTCCCCTTTGGAATGGGCACGGTTAGAAGGATCCAGTGGTTAAAATATGTGCCAGTGTGCCCAGTTTTCGTGGGGTTTAACTCCAGGACACAGAGGGACCCTGATACATCAGAACAGATAACAAATGTGACAGATATCGCAGCCGTATGCACAAAGGTTTGAAAAGACCCCTATTAAGTATCGCAGAAGATGGAAGGACCATATTTGGTTGAAAGAGACTGTGTGAGGTTCCAGCATAGTTAACTCACACCCCAGCAGAGATGCCTCAAGTAAAGCAGACTATACTTATATGAGGACAAGCATAGTTGGTCAAAGCTTATTCACTTTTCTGTCTCCATTAATAAAAAATATTTAAGGGACCACCCAGAACCCTCTTGTAATCTAAGCATTATCAAGACATGTTTACTTAGAGGCAGTATACCCACCTACCACCATTTTGGATTTTGCCAATTCAGTATTAGCTTAGAAAAAAAGAGGTGCACTGGTTCAGTTAAACAAATCTAACATTTCACAGTCAAAGTCAGACAGTCAAGTTTCATTGCCTTTTGTTAACTTTGATTTTACACTGTTGTATTTTTGCAATTCACGTTTAAGGAAAAAATATTCATGTAAAAGATGAAGGGAATTCTTCTCATATACTACCAGACTCTTCTCTACATCTATGAGGACTGGGGGGTTTTTTCTGAAGAAAAATTCATGCTGAGATTCCTCAGAGCACCAAATTCTGTTTCTGGTGCATATGTACATACAGTATGTATATACATATGTATATACAGGCAACATTAAGAAACATAGTAATTAATTGGATCCTGCTCCTTATAATTCCAAGTTAATAAATACACAACTCTAATCCACAGTGCTCTGACACATTTAACTTGCTGTAGTGTACATACTTCCTTTTTATTACAACTTATCTTGCTAGATATGAAATTTTACAACTTAGAAAATCGTTTATCATAAAATTATAGAATAATGGAGTTGGAAAGAGTCTATAAGGCCATCAAGTTGAACTCTATGCTCAATGCAGGAATCCAAATCAAAGTAAAATTGACAACTGTCTAATTTTCTCTTGAATGCCGCCAGCACTGGAATGTTGATGACTTCCTGAGATAATTGTCTCCACTGTTATACTGCTCTAAGAATTAGAATTGTTTTCCCTGATATTCAACTGAAATCTGACTTCCTGTAACTTAGTCCCATTTTTATGTGTCCTGCACTCTGGGATGATTGAGAACAAGTCCTGCTGCCCCTTCTCTGTATGACCATCTTTCAAGTATTTGAGCGGTCATATTTTCTCTCAGTCTTCCTTTTCTCAAGGCTAAACATGCCCAGTTCTTTCAGTTTTTCCTCATAGGGTTTGGTTTTCAGTTCTGTGATCATCCTTGTTGCCCTCCTCTGAACTTGTTCGTTTGTTGGCATCCTTCTTAAAGTGTGTTCAGAACTGTACTCAAGATCAGGCCTAACCAGTGCTGAATAGAGGGCAGCTACTATTTCACAGTAGTTGGAGATTATACTTCGGTTAATGCAAATAGCATTTTCCTTTTTGGCAGCCACATTGTATTGTTGGCTCATATTTAGCTTGTGGTCTGCAACAATCTCAAGATCCTTCTCGCTCATACCGAGCCAAGTATCCTTCTGCTTGTAACTGTGTGTTGAGTTTTATCCCTTAGGCACAGAACTTTGCATTTATTTCTGTTAAATTTCATTCAGCCCAGTGCTTAAGCCTATCAATATCTTTTGAACTTTGTTTCTAATATGAAGCAATTTCACTATGCAGCAGCTTCACTAACACTGATCACTGTTACTTCAGAATTAATAAAGTAGTTTTTTGTTCTTCAGAAATTAAGCTGTATTTTATAGAATGACAATAAAGACTGAAAAGGAAACTCAGCATTCAAGGAGCCCATAGCTAAAGAACAGGATCAACTAACTCCCAGGATGAAAGGGAAATGTTTGGAAATACAAATTATATACAATAGCCTAAAAACTATCATAATCTCTGCCCCCTGTGAAAACATTAGATATTCATAAACTAGCCATTCTGCCTTACTCTTGAGACTGCTTGCATTTTCACAATTTACAAAAAAGATACCAAAATGTACAAAATTGTATGCTGTCCTAGGGTCAAGCCCATTGCTCTCTACCCAGAAAGACATACAACACATTCTAAGTACAATGAATACTCAGGACATCATCAAGAACTCTTTTCTACTATTATTTATTTTTTTAAATATTTTTGAAAAAATATAATTTTTTTACAATATTTTCAACTTAAACACTATTCACACTGAACACGTATGGCAGCTTATGCTACCCAAATATGAAGTTTAAGAAGCCAAAACTGTTCTAGTTTTATTTAAAAAAAAGTTGTGCTGTAGACTATTGTGTAGTGATGGTCAAACAAAGCAAGGGAAAAGCACCACTCAAATTTCTAATGCTAAAGTTTTACAGGTAAACCAACCAACTCTTAAGGTTGTAGAAGTTTACATAGGCAGTGCCATGTTTTTGGATTCCTGGCAAAAGTTGCGATATACAACTCACATCACATTAAATGAAAAGTTCAGAAGTGGGACAATCATTCCAACATGATAACTTGCTGTAGATACAATCTATCTGCCAGCTTCTCCTCCCCCCAGCCCTCTACCAGATCTGTAGCCAAGATAAAGGTCTCTGTACAGGTCTGTGAAAGTGGGTCAGGCTAACACGTAATTCACACTGTTCTCAAAAAAGAAGAGCATGAGTTAAGTTTTGCTTGCTAATGGGAAGAGTTAGTAGCATTACTGAAATTCAGCTAATCTGCATAATCAGATAAACCTTGCTTTTATTGTCACATTAAGGCATTATCAGGTGCATAATCAACACCAACTCTGTATGTTTTAATTAAAACAGACCACTCTTTGTCAAAGTCCAAATCCTTCTAAAAAATAGAAATGCAAGAGTTTCTCAGAAACTTGGTGCTTTTCTCAACTTGACTGGTGCTTCCTACCTCAATGTTTCCTTTAAAATGAAAAAAAGAAAAAAAAGGCCTGGGTCTATTTGTATTCTTTCATTTCATTAACCTCTGACAGCAGTTGACTTAATAACAGTCTCAGCACTTTTATTTAAGCATGCAAGACTAACAAAACTTTGGCAATGCGTAAGTGTAACACAGTGACAAGAAGAGAGAGCGTTTTAACAATTAAATCTTCTAATACTGGCTTCACAGTGTGGAAATTGTGCTACATCCACCAAAAGAGGGCCCAGTCTACTCATATATTTAGTACTTCACCCCAGGAACAAACTCCTTTGCATTTGGATTCAGATTACTCTTGACCTGGAAGGCAGAGAGATATCAGAGATTTAGATTATGAAGTAATTGAATAAATAAATAATGAAAGTCTTGCTGATACACAAAAGGTTTAGCTAGAGTTATTTATAAACAAAGTAAAATGCACAAAAGTACTCTTCAGGCTCAAACTGCTCATCTTTCATCATGAGCCACTCAAACCTTTTAGCTGAAAACACACTGAGCTACAGTCACTGTCTAAACACCAGCTATTTAAAACTTGTTGCCATCTGTCAAAAAATGCTCTATGCTCTAGCTCTTGAATGGCGGGTTTGAAGGACCCTTGGATGTTCATGTATTAAGACTGTAACTCTTTTGAATAGTCTATGAGAGTAATCAGAAGTTTCTACACTTGGAAAAAAAATATTGAAATCTCTCTGAAATAAACCTGTTTGCATTTTAAAATCACACCTACAATCCACAGTCTGTGGTGGGAATGGAAGAGGCTAACTTGCAGGCACAGTCCTATATCATTAACCGGTATGCCAGTTAGTCTCTCAGATGATTCTCGGTAACTTTAACAGATTAAAACAATAGTTAATTACCAATTTTTGAACACATGTAGAGCCAAATTCATGAACTTTTTATTCCCACCAAGACATTTGCACTGTAATTCTAAGGCTGAAATCCTGTTCTTTCAACTATGCCTATGTAAGACTGATGATGTAATCAACTGGATCACTCTTTCAGAAATTAAACACTTCTTACTTCTCTCCCACAGCTTCTGGATAATTCCTTTCATTTTCTAGAAGTGTGGGAGCTGTGGGATCGGAAGAGGAAATCTTATTAATCAAAAAATGCTGCCACCAGGATGAGATTACCAGCAGTGGCAAATTTTGGTAATTAAACACCTCCTATTTCTGTCCCGTGGCTTCGAAACTGTGAAAGGGATTACACGTAATATGTGAAACAGATGTAGGAAGTATTCAATTTTTGAAAAATTGCCACTGCTGATTATGTAATCAACTTTATGTGACCATATCTGCCTGAGCACCATTTCAGCCTAAATGTACTTAGAATCTAAGCATTTGAAACAAATTTAGAAAAGTGTGAGGAAAAGTAAATATTAGACATTCACACACTGATTAATTCTGATTTTATTTATTATTAATTTAAAATGGATGGAAGCTTCATTCTCATATATAACTTTTTAAAAATTCAGCGTTCAAGCTGTAAGAGAGTATCAGAAAGAATGGTATTCGGACCAACTCTCTGCTACTAGGAATATAGGCTCATACTGGCAAACCATCCTTGGCTGCCTCCAGCTTTATCTGCCAAAGATCACTGTCACTGCTTGTGCAACTTTCCTAATCACTTAGCTCCAGTCTACTTCCCAAGGACTTCCCAAATTTGCAAATGCTTTAAAGTGATTCTCACTTCTCCCCTTCCTTCAGTGGATACATCTTTATTAAACAGGAGGGATCTTTACTTGCTGTACTACACAGGGAGAGGGAAGAAGAAAAGTAGGTAAAATGGAAGAGGAACAGTGGTTTGACCATTGTCGTGAACAGTGTGAAGGAGGCCATGCTCTGAAATGCTCAGCAAGATACACTGGCAGCTTTTGAATAAAAGTGTTTAGTCAGAATAAAAATCCAACTTTAAAAACTAAGCACTTACCACCAGATCTTCCAGTGACGAGCCATCACTGATAACAAGATCGTTAAATTGGTCCTGAATTTGATCCATTGTTTGTGGGAGATCTCTGGCAGGAATAAACCATTCATGTTCTTCCTCCTCTTCCAGCATTTCTTGGAAGCAACGTTCTATAAATTCTTCTTCCCACAATTCCTCCTCAATCTGGCATTGGAATATGAAAGAGTACTATAGTTATACAGCATTCAACCACCTACTTTTTGACATTTTCTCCTTGTGATTTTTTTTTTTTGCAATCTGAATGGTTCTAGAAAGAATGTACATAATAAATTCCTTTTAATAAGGAACTTCAATTTTAGTTTGTGCAGATATGTTTATAGCATTTACATGCTACCACATGCTATAATCATCTGATAATTCCCTTGCACAATAGGTATT